ATCACAGATTAGTGCAGATTTTGATGCTGCGGCTTGAGCATTTATCAGTGTTTAGCACGCAAAAGCTTGCTTTGAATAGACGCTGTGTGGGAGTCCCCATTTTGTAATCACTAGTTTCATTTAAAATAAAGGAAAGGAGTACTGGAAAAGGAAAGTACTGGAAGGCCGTGAATTTCATCGCGTGTGACTTCTAGTTGGTCATCAATTTAGTGCTAATCGCGTTTAATCAGAATAAGGTTTTTATTAGGCATGTTGACTTCCTTTTGCAATTGCTGGCACCTGCCATCTTCAAACCACCAGCAGTCTTGCGTTTAAACAAGTTCAATAAAGTTCGGGAAAACGGGCAACGTTAACTTCACGTTAGCATCTGTTTTCTGCTAGATGGTCAGAGGGCCATTTAAACAGATTTGGTTTCACGGCACAGAGCCCTCTCCAGTTCGATATACATACATGTATGTCGTCCGCAAGTGTGGAGGACAAGATTAACGAATCATAATGCATAAAAATCGATAGCATGTCAAGAACATCTTCAGCAGGCTTACTCAGCATAGTATATAGTAAACTTGTAAACGACTGTCGTAATGAGGAACTGCTTTATTTCTGAAACTTAAAATATAATCTTAAAAAATATGAATGAAAAAAACTTACGTAATAGTGAAAGAAGAGTCTGAAAAGATGAATAAAAAGACCAGGAAAATAAGAGGAACTAATAATGATACTCTAATTAATTGTGACGTATTGTAATTTTGCGTTTTCCTCACATACCGCGTTTACTGCGATTCTTTTTAAAACGGCCTGTTCCAATGATATCCAGCACCAATTAGCTTTCATCACCCTGATTTCAAGGCAACATGAGTCGCTGTTACAGTCATTATATAAATTTTTACTGGTATGCATTAAAACTCGAAGTACTGTTTCGCACAATTGCAACAGCTTCTGTAACGAATACTTCATTCCATTCAGTCATGAAGATCTTAAACTCTGACAACCATTAAAGTAACAATAAAAACCAAAAAACAAACAAAGAAGATTCAAAAGCAACTTTAGTAAAAGAACGGTCTGCATAAACTAGCTTTGTCTTTAAGAAAACAATCTCATCTGCACTTCTTTGGGCAGTCGCGCTACAGCCTCTGGATACTTGTCCTTCATCATGGCGAAAAACATAAGTTGACATTTGGCTAAAATTACACAAATTGCCAAATGTTACTAAACAGTGTAAACATAAATGAAGCGAAACCAAACGAGAAATAGGTTAAAGCTATAGAAAATTCCATATCAATCTGTCATGTCAGGCAAGGAGTGAAATATGAGATCGCTGCATGTTAAAGGGAAGGGAGGGAGCAAAGCGAAAAGAAATATATTTTCCTTAGTAGCTGCGACAGACGAGGAGAGGTTTATTACGAATAACAAACTGATTTTTAAATAGCCTATTCATAAGGCGCTAAACATTTAAATCTTATTGCTTTGTGTGTCCACTTTTTACAAAATCCTTAGCATTTTATACACTTTTTACTTATAACTAGCGATTAGCCCATTTACTGCTGATGGAACCTACCATTACTTTAGTAAATGAACATGACTGGTTGATTGATAACCTCGCCATGGACGGTTAATAAAGATCGTTGTATGATATGAAAAAGTAAGTTTGTAACTGCTGGAATGTCAGTCTCCCTGACTCTTTCTTGATTAAGGCCGTTTATGGCGCCCTTCATTTCATGTAGCTTATGGCGCAGCGATGATCTTCGTTTCTATGCCACCAGCTGGTGTGCCTTACTTTTAAAGGAAGAACCTATCGCTATGTATCGAGCACAGCGTGCAATCTCATGTTCCTCCCACAAAGTGGTACTCATCTATCTACTTCAGAAGGAAAAAAGGCAAATGGCCTGACCGAGGCTCGAACCCAGGGCGCGCCTCGGTTCCGAGTCCGACGACGTACCGATCGAGTATCCACAGCCTTCACCGGAACGTAAACTCGAACTGAAGTAGTGAACTGACGGTATGACGAAATCTTTTAATCCCGGAGCTGAACCTATGCAGAGAAAACGAAAAGCCATATAAAATTACAAAACTCCAACGTCTTTTTGGAATGAATGAAAATAAGTACACTGTAGTTGATGTGCAATGAGAGAAGTTTCCAGCTGTCTTAGGTTGCGATACTTTTCTTTGCTACTTCATGACCTGGTGGATTTAGGATAATAGC